GCTTCTAGGTTGGAGGCCATCGCTAGTTGATTGGAGGCCATCGCTTCAAGGTTGGAGGCCATCGCTTCAAGGTTGGAGGCCGTCGCTAGTAGGTTGGAGGCCATCGCTTCTAGGTTGGAGGCCATGACTACTAGGTTGGAGGCCATGACTAGTAGGTTGGAGGCCATCACTAGTAGGTTGGAGGCCATGACTACTAGGTTGGAGGCTTGGTATTAGGTTGGAGGCCATCGCTATTGGGTTGGAGGCCATCGCTTCTAGGTTGGAGGCCATGGAGGCCGTTGCTATTAAAGAAAATTGCTATTAGGTTCTTGGAGTTTCTTGGTGGAAGAGATGAAGAATTCGCGAGAAACTGAGGTTGGACATCCGCCGGGAATTCTCCAAGGGCCATGAGAGCTACACGGTGAGTAAATCCATCCGTGAACATGTGCCACGGCTGCAAGTAGCCATTTCTTCAAAGACAAGCCCGTTTGCACTGCGCAAACCAGACGGTAACGCAACTCTTGATGCTTCAGATGGTGCTTCAGATGATAAAAAAACAGAAAACGGAATTGTGGTTTGAGACGAAATGAGCTGACCAAGGGTGCCGTAGCAGCCAAGAAGAATCGCTTGCATGAACTTTGCATGAACTTGGACGACTTTGAGCTTCTTGACAAAGTTATGAGCACTAAGTGCTGAGCGCTGAGTGCTGTGTTTCTTTAGGCCACGAAAATCAGCTTAGGCGGGTTGCAAGAGATGTCATGGACAATGGGGGCTTCGGATACTACATGGGGGGCGCCACGGATGAGTGGACCTTGAAGGAACTCGACAGGGATAGGCCGTCGACAGCTTTCAAAGGTTGTTTCGTTTTGGGGGGGATAGGCTGTAGAGGGAGGTAGTAGCAAGGTAGGTTGCTCTTAAGTAGCTACTACCCAGGACAGGAAGCGCTCGCACTATTCATTTGATTCCTAGGTTTTTAGGGACACTTAAATGTGGCAGATATGTTTCTGACGTTTCTACTCGTTGACATGCATTTTTCTTTTTGGGGCATATATGTTTTGAATCAACACTGCTCACTCTTAGCCTGGGAGATATCTCCTCGCCACATATCGTCCTACCAAAGGACTTCGATACCAAAAGCATCACAGGTGAGCTCCATCGAGCGTTCGAAGAAACTCCGCTCGCTTGTTTGAGGAGAACCGCTCTGCCTTCGAGAAGTACCGCATCATCCCAAGGGTGCTGGTTCCTGTCACGCACCTTGGTTTCCAGCAGTCAAAAGTCAAGAATAGGCAGACTGTCAAACTACAAGTCTGTTTTGTCTTTTTTCGAGGTGAACAGGGTGATTTCAGGTGGTAGGCGAGTGCAACAGCTCATGAGATAATCTTCCTCACTAGCATTTTGATCTTTTTTGGGGTTAGGTGAGAACTTTTTTGCGCAACTAGCAAAACTTGTGTGTACGGATAACAGGGTACGGCATAGACACTGCTGGCCAAAGGCAGCGCATCGAACTCTCGTGTGACCGTTTCACTGCGCTCCCAGATCGGTTGACATGCGCTGCTCTTTCTTCGGGATTGACCTGCGCTTCCCGGTGATGATTGCACCATCCGCCATGCATGGCCAGGTGGGGCGAAACTGTCCCACGAACCCAAGCATTGCTAGGTTGGCCATCGCTAGTAGGAGCGATCGGACGCTACGAACGGGTCTCCTGGCCTTACTACTAGGACCAATGTTCGCTACTAGGAACAAAGGGCATCGCTACGAACGGAGCAAGGACGCTGCTAGGTTGGAGGCCATCACTAGTAGGTTCAGAAGGGACCCCCGGCATGCTGCCTCTCCGGCAGCCTCCGTGCACCAGGCCCATGAGGACGGTGAGAAAGCCACTGCTCGCGCTGCGGTTCGTGCTGGGTCGGCTTTCACCCTCTCCTCTCTGGGATCCATGTCCATGGAGGTTCGTCCTTGGGAGTTAAGAAAAGAAGGGAAAAACTGTCTGAAAGGAACATCAAGAAAACACATCAAGAACAGTTGCTTTTCGAACTCGTTGCTTTTCTCGTGAACTCGGAAGCGTGGAGTCTCGCAGGATGTGGCTGGAGCAGTACCAACAGACCATCAGGGCAAGCCCAAAGGCCGAAGAGAACCAATTTGTTGGGGAAAATGACTTGCTTTTGTGAATGTGTGGAGAAAACTTGTAGGCTGGAGGCCATCGCTAGTAGGTTGGAGGCACTAAGGTTGGAGACCATCGCTCTTAGGTTGGAGGCCATCGCTAGTAGGTTGGAGGCCATCGCTAGTAGGTTGGAGGCCATTGCTACTAGGGTGGAGGCCATCGCTATTAGGTTGGAGGGTGCGGAGAAAACTCTTTCAAGCTCTTATGATCAGCATCCGAAAGCCACAAACCATGAGACATCAACTCTGAGTGCAAGGCTTGATCTTCCAGCAACTTGGCCGAGGTGTAGCAAACGGATTTGGCTGTACGAATCACTGTGAATCATATTGCCTCCCTTGTGTAACACTCTCCCAAGATCTCCCACTGCTAAGGCTCTATGTTTTCAAGCGACGGGACATCACAGAGGTTGGGGTGGACCGGGTAGACGAGCCGCGGCTTTCTCTTTTCTCTGGAGCCCCCCCAAAAGAACGAAACCAAGCCATCGCTATTAGGTTGGACCAAAAAGGAAACAAACGAAGTCATTCTCCTCGTTTTCGTGTTCAAGGCCATCGTCAAGAAGGCAGAGGCTCTTGGCTACCGAGCCCTTTGCCTCACGGTCAGGTCCCTGGAGTCGGTCGATAGGTCATGGATAGGTCTTGATTCATGGCCTCGAAACCACTTTACAGTAAACATCAAACAACCCCCCTCGAAACCACTCTTCCTTTTTTTGAGGTCGATGCACCTATCACAGGACGGCGAGAACGAGACCTGCGAAGTGGACGCTCGGACACGAGACAAGAGCTGGGTTGAGTAAGAACTGATCAAGTGGGTCAACAGGTTCCACTGGTTCCACTGCTCACATTCACAGCAGTTTCCTGACTTGGTCGAGATAGGGAGCACATGTGTGTGTGCTCTCGACATAGAGTTCCAACTGCTTAACCTCGAGTGCAGGGCATCCAAACGTGCCCGCTTGGTGCTGACTTTGCATGTTGGTCCGGTGGCCCTCAGTTCTGACAGCCTTGCCACTCTGACTGTCCTCATTCTGCCAGGGGCATTATGCCATGTGTATGGTGCATCCCTACTAGTCAGTCACAAGGACATCGCTACTAGTAGCCAGAAGCACAAGGGCATCGCTTCTACTAGCCAGAAGCTGCTAGTAACAAGGGCACCACTACTAGTAGCTAAAAGCTACCAGTAACAAGGGCATTGCTACTAGTAGCTAGAAGCTGCTGGTAACAAGGTCATTGCTACTAGTAGCTAGAAGCTACTAGTAGCAAGGGCATTGCTAC